ACACACGTCCCTTGGTTGATAGCCGGATATCACGCCTACGCCAGAGATGGTGTAAGTCAGCGAAAGCAGCTCGAGCTTTTTGGATCCGTGCTGATATTTCGTCGCCAATCAGTCTGTTGGTGCTGATACAACTTCGCAAATAGGTGAAGTGGTCAACATGTTCTATCACTTCACTCCCTATCACTAAGGTAAGGAAGTGATGTGAAATGCAGTGAATTTACACTCAGAATTATGCTAAATTAAGATGGAAAGTTTTCTTTTGTACATAATGGCTTCATTGAATTTCCTCCACTTTGAAGAAATGTTTACACCAGACGTACAGACTAATCAGATTGCTGGGAAAAATTTCACCTTGACTTCACTATCTGATGAAAGGCGATAAGAGCGAAATGTTGCAGATATTAACAAATTATAATTATTCCACCTTCTGAAGTAAGTGCTAGCAAAGTACTGTTTAAAATTGAGTGCTTGGTATGTCACCTGGAAAATCAGGATAGAAGTAACTTGTAGTTAGTTGTACCTGACTTCAATTGGCCTGATGATATGCCAACCAAGAATCGACAAAATCTACTCTTACGATAAATGTTAACCAATCATATGCTAACCATGGAATAACATGAACAACTGCTGCGTTATTTTCATTTATTTATTCCATAAAATGTGGAATATGCTTTTATAAAACTGACTAATATGTTGTAGTTGCGGCAGGTAACATGATCAAAACGAACACGATGAAACTCTGAACGCCAGTGAAAAGGTTAACTATGTATCAAACTGTTAAAATGAATATTTTAGAAACGGTAACACACGTTGAAAGAGAAACTATCAAACTCTGTGGGATTGCGAAAGCGTAATAGAGTCGTTCAACAGAGCGTGATACGTTAGGTTTATGACAAGCAGAACTCATGAAATAAACAATAGATTTCGAAATGAGGAAACAAAGTGACATGAAACGTAAATATCTGAAATATTTAGAGTATTTTAATCTTAAGATGGCCGTCATAGTTTGATGATAACTTTTGAACACAAAGATTAGGTGCCACCAAAATTTATGATAACATCCTCAGAGAACTAGAAAAGACTAGGTTTGTTTTGCTTACTATTCATCTCATAAAATTTCAATAAATCTAAATTTTCTCCAGTAGACGAAATGTGGACCAGTAAAGCTTTAGCTTTCAATAATTTAGGAATATGTAAAAAAAATGTGATTAAGAACTGTGCTTTTGTCTCTCAAATGTAAGTGTATTAACATATACGTAAGAACAGAAAAATACAATTGGCAGTAGTCAGAGATGATATATATATATATATATATATATATATCCTTCGCGTTCCCCAGTGGAACATAGGGCTTCAAACTAGTGGCTTGAAGTTTCTGTAGCAGTGTTTATTTTATAGGAAGGGGTTGCTAGCCTCATACCCAACCTTTCCTCTTTACCAGCCTTACTTCTGACTCAGCGAGGTAAAGGAGTGCGTTGGCGGGGGATCGATTCCCGGACCATGTGCCTGGTCGGCGAACGTCCTAACCGTTATACCACCAACGCACAGTCAGAGATGGTAATTGGTCTATTTTTCAATTATCTTAATGAGCAGTTAATCTGATACATACTGCCTCCCATTGCAATTCGATAACCATTTATATGTATAGTGAGTAAAAGTGAACAAAAGTACCAGAATTATTTCCAGTCAAAGGTCAAATTAATAAAATTACTAAGTGTAATAGAGAGAAGATAGGTAGTGGCACTATTCCAGAAATATTTCAGGCCAAAGGTCAAATAAAAAAATTACAATGCGTAATAATCAGGAAGATCGGTTAGAAAAGACAAAATAAGATTATAATTACTGGAAAACCCATCAGTTTGTATAATTACGGATTAAGGACGTAGTATTAACAAAATAGGTAGGCGGTTAGAACATATAAAAATAAAAATTCAGCAACCAAATCTAATACTGCAGTTATGGATTAAAAAAGTAAGTATAACAAATAAACGGGAAGGTTGGACAAGGAAGGTAATTGGATAATCATTATTGGTGAGACTGACTTTCCATGATGGCCACGGTAGGAACAACGGTTGGACTTACTTCTTTTAAACGCATAGAGTAGGCTTGAGTTTTCGGACAGCCAGTGCCTCAGCCATTCCTAGATGTTGTGATTTCACTCCCTTTGGTAGGCTTGATTGGACTTTTCAAATGGCGCTGAATGTCCAGAATTCAACAGATGTTCTGTTATCGAACTGTATACCCCTTTGTGTTCTTTCTTCACTAACCATGCCGGATAGTAATTCTGGGTGGGTTTTACAAGCGGACGTATGGTACGGCCAATGTACTCGGCTCCACACGAGCAAGTAAATCTGTATACACATGTTGAAGTGGCTCAATGCGACAGCTTGTCATTCATGTGCTGGGTATTTTCTTGCGGGAGAATGTTGTTCGTAGGCTGGCGGCGAATTATCTTAAAGTGAGGGGCTTCGAAAGCCGTCTGCGGAGAAGTTCTGCCTCAGTATCGCTTTTAAATTCGAGGTTCAATATCAACATCGTTTTGGGGGCGACTTCGACCTTTTCAGATGTTTTCTTTGGTTTTCGATTCTTGTCTATGCATCTGGGTGGGAATCCATTTTCCATAAGTTCCCTCAGAGATTTGGCAATCCTTCGTCGGTTGACTCTCCATTGCAAATCTTCTGGATTTTCAATGGGGCATTATGCCCCATTAGACCAGCTAATTCATATGAGATGGAAAATAAACTAAATGACATTCAAATAGAGAATGCTGACACAATGGTTAGTTTTGTATAACTAGTCTTTATACTAACATACCAATCACCATGGCTTTAGAAGCAGTTAAAAAAGAACTAACTGCAGATCTTGAACTCACTCATAGGACAAAGTTGCCCATTGAGGAAATTATTTTAGGAATTCAGTTATGTCTCACATCTACTATCTTTAAATTCCAAGGTAACATATATAGACAAATAGAAGGTGTAGCAATGAGATAACCAATATCCCCAATCGTAGGAGATATATTTATGGACAGCTGGGAAAATAGTGCTCTAAATACATTTAACCCTACTCCAAAAATATGGTGGAGATATGCAGATGACACTTTTAGTGTTAAAAACAGAACATATCTCTAGCGTCTTGACACATATAAACTCACTAGGAGAGGGAATAAAATTCACATTTGAATCGGAAAATGAACAAGAAGAATGAGCTATGTTGGACTGTAAGATAAAACGAATTGAAGAAGATAAACTGCACACTAGCATTAATAAAATGCCAACGCATTCTAATAAATATTTAGACTTTAATTCATCTTACCCCCTAACTGTTAAGGCAGGCTTAGTTAAGTGTCTAACAAACCGAGCAGTAGCACTAAGTAGTACAAGAAAAGACCTAAATGATGAAATAAAACAGATAGAAGAAGCGTTGGTATCAAACAGCTATCCTATAAAACTCATTAGGAAGATCAGAAAAGGCCAAAAGCAAAATAAAATAGTTGTGAAACTAGTAATGATAACATAAATAAGAAAGAATTTAAGGCATCTACAGTTTTCCCATGTAAGGAGGGGACATCTGAAACCCTACGTAGGATTCTTAATAAAGCAGGAATTAGGGTGGCATTCAAACCTACACACTCACTCAGGGACAAACTATTTATGTTAAAGGACTCTATCGGTTGAGCCAATTAGATAAAATAATATAATTTACAAAATACCTTACAGTGAGTATGAGTTAAGTCAACTACTTAGGTCAAACTAGTAGATCGGGAGTAGTTAGGACATAAGAATTTAGCGAAGATTAGAATGACTGACCCCACGAAGGTGAGTAATTAAGAAAAAATCTCGGCAAGTGCACTGCATGCATTAACACACAACCACACAGTAGGGTGGGAAAGGGTTAAAATTCGAAAAAGTAATATAGATAGGTGGAGAGACAGGTTGATTACTGAATCCTTGTTCATCCAGTCTACACCCAACACGTGCAATAGGAATGACTCATCCTTCAGATAAGAAATATGGGAAATACTACTACCAATCAAATCAAGCGAGGAAAAATAATGGAACTACATAAACGAAGTTAGAAAGTCGTGTAAGTACCTTGATATGATTATGAGCAATAAATTGTGCTCGAAACGTGGTTATCAGTAAATATTACTGTATAACACTGTGAGACTTTATCAAAAATACTCTACCACAGTGCACAAGTTTTATTCTTATATCAATTGATAATAAGGAGTCGTTTTCTAGGCTAACCACAAAGCAGTCGGCCAGGAGGGATTCCAGAGAAGAACGCACAATCTGGTGGTCTGAGGCATTTAGAAAAATGAATAAATTAACACACAATTAGTTGAAGGCCTAAGGCTGTTCTCATTTTCTCTCCACTATAAAGGCAATGCTTACTTACATTATTACAATTAGCTTCCACTACTACCATCCGCCAAATAAGGTTAAGTAAAATAAATGCGACTTCTATAACCATGTTCATGAACCTGTGCTATCAAAACCCATTACACGACGCTTCAAGATGCTTTTTCAGTGATTACAAATTAGTATTTAATTTTCTGAAATGCACAACCGCCTATGTTGAATCCAGACAGACAGACAACCGCCTACTAATTAAAGAAGTACGAAATCGACTGATGTCAAAGTTATGATGGACATCTTGAACAACAGTACTCTTCCTCAAAGCTATTTGTCGGTAGTTAGATGTGAAAATCACTAAACTACTTTTTCGAATAAAAAAACACTTTAAGACGATATGAAATTAAAATTAGGAAAGATTTAGTATTGCGAAGAAATTGATAGATCCGAAAGTTATTCAAGAATGATTTTATTAAAATAGTAGAACAGTTACACCAAATGTTTTAGAGAATGTTTTAAAATTAAGAGTTCATATTTAAAAAGAGATTCAGAAAATATCTTTCCGAGACAATATTTCCTAATGCGTAGATCTTTCTTTTTTGTACAAAAAGATATTAGAAAAAAACTACAATTGTCAGTCACTCCAGTCAGGATCCAAAGTATTAACTGGACACCTCGATGTCGATGGAATCTGAGCCGTTCTATTAGATTTTGTAGCTTCATATTGTTCAGTATTCATGCTTGTTTGAGATTCTGATTGATCTTCAGTCTCATCCACATCTGGAACACACTGTAAAATGAGGGGAAAATCATCAATAAAATATATACGCCAAACAGTCAACGAGAGAAGTTATGCATATTATTGAAGTGTTCAATGATAAGGATTATTTAAATTCCAATTTGAATAATTAACATTAGAAAATACCCCATGTAATTTCCAGTTACAGTGATCCTTAACAACACCTGATGGCTAGAGTATTGATTTGACGTCATTTTTCACTTTATCAGTTTTTTACACGTCTAGCTAGTTGTAAAAGTATTAATACTGTGACTAATTTAGCTTTACTATACTACTACTACTAACGGTAATAATAATACGTCAAAATTAGTCTGTAAGTCGGTGGCACAGTGGTTAGGACTCTCACCGACCACGCACATGGTCCGAGGGTCGATTCCCTGTCGACGCACATCCGATATCTATGGTCGGCCCGCAAAATCTGGGCTACCGATATCACATGCTGAAAATTCCATACTTGTACCGAAAATACGGTGTGGAATCAAGCTGTAATCAAAATAAAATAAATTTTCAGGCTGTACGCAGAAGATGAGAAGTCGACGAAATAAATACTGTCTTAGCTATATTCAAAATAATAATAGTAGTAATAATAATAATATTTCAGCATACGGCACAGAATCCTCATCATACAATATCCCCATTGAGTTGTGCTCCAACCAGTTATTTACACTGTCTGTCTGTTTTCGACATAGAACTTTGCACAAATGTGCGGAAGTTCAAGTCGCCACACTCCGTGTAGCACGCGAAGCAAGAGAAGAAAGTACAAGAAAAGCATAATAGAAACAGTGAGCAGAGGTGTGAGACAAAGGAGTAATAAAGAAAACAAAAGTTTCATTGGAGATCATAAGTCACAGGGAGTGGATGCATCTGCGCCACTGAGAACGATTTTGAGCCATGTCACCAATTGTTTCCAACCATAGATTTTTACCGTCCCGAGGACCCCAGCCTGGAAGTCTACACCTTCCTACGTGGCTTAGACCAACTGTTGTGGATTTCATTGACTGATGTCAAGTTTTTGTTTGACCGCCGCTAGCTTTTTTCCAGCCTGACTCTATATCCGCTAACATTGCTCGTCGAGGGAGGCGATGGCTTGGCATACGTAACACATGTCCTAACCATCTCAGTCTTTGTAACTTCACGACTTCGTCGATTGATTTCCCGTTTACCTAGAACTCTACGCCTAACCTCAATGTTGCTCACCTTATTATGCCACTTTACACGGGAAATAGAGCGCAGGCACCTATTTCCCGTGTAGTAATAAAGGCATCTGTTAACAACTGTTCACTAGGAAGTTTATAGATACGCCAATAGCCGAGCTGATAATATTCACAGCCGCAGGTAAAATAGAATATTTTCTTTTAAGAGTCCAGGAAAGAATGAAGCAGAAAACAAAAATAATCAATTGCAAGGATGAGATGGTCGAGGAAACCTAAGGAGATAAACAGTCCAGTAACGACAAATAATAGTAAACAAATGTTGAGACAATCAGAGAGTTTATTGTTAACGAACTAGGGACTGAAACTTTGATCTATGGGCAAAAGTAATGAAGCAACAAAAAATAAATAAATAGAAAAACAAGCAAGACACAGAGGAACAGTTTAACTTGTTGAATGAAAACGAATAAATGTGTAAGATGGCAACGAACGAGTTGTAGTACGGATATCTACATCCTACTCAGCCTGAAATCGGACCGTAGAAAACATTAGCACAACTGCAGACCAGCCACTCGTCATTTGCCAACTACCTAATCTAACATTGAACCAAAATACACCCCTTGAGTTGAAATACTCAATTCTCCACTAGAAGCTAAATATACTGTACACTGCCTTACTATATGTGTGTTTCAGATATAACCAGCGAATGTTAAGCGATTTTACAATCCCTCCTCTCCTACTATCGTTTACGCTTGCCAGAACTGTCAACATAGACGGTAAGTCAGTTGATGAACTTACAAATCGCCACACCCTGAGGTGGATGGAGTGTATATTATACAGCCCACCCACTGACTGTGTCAGTGTGCTGTTATTAAGAGAAAAATTATATTGGAAGGAAACGAAAAGTAGTCAAGATACGACAAGAACTCATGAAGTCAGTGACTGTTAGAGTAAGCTGTGTAAAAAAGTGTACGTTGTCTGACGACAACCATATGAAAACCGACCCTATGGTTCCGCACTCCAAATCATGCTCTTTAGATTCAGTTTCACTGTAGTGTGATGCCACATTCGTTTGTATGCTATGTATTTTCTTTTGTACGGAAATATTTACATTCTGATTTTAATGTCTTCACTTTTGGTACACTTTTAAAATAAAAAAACTTTCAGTGCACAGATGTTATATGTTGTGACATAGTTTTTGTGATAAAACCCACTTATTGACAAAAAACCCAAGATGAAATTCCAAATACCTTGTTTTGCAGAAGGGATTTTACTTACCTACTACTTAAAAATGAGGAAACAAAATTCCATGATAATGAGAAAAAGTGACATCGTTAAAAAATACTTACGAAAAACTCCACAAAAGCAACCTCATTGTCTGAAACGTTTATCATATATTGAATGGACAGAAAACCGCGATCATTGATACGCAGAGAAATACGACTGGCCATTGACAAAGCTCGATTTGTTGCAGGTCGTAACAGTGACAGACGAAAGCGAGCTATCCTAGGACTTGCAGTGCTAGATTCAAACACCTCTACTTGATCAGACGACCTAGGCAAATCGAAATGCATAGTCCCAGCAAAACCGTAGGTTGTTAAGCGAAGACGGGGTTGAATTGCTGGAGGTGGTATTATAGCAACCTCCAAAATCTCACTTGAAGTATCTAATTCGTTGAATGCTTCACGCATACAGTCTGACTAAGAATTATGAAGTGTAAATGACAGGAGTAAATCAGCCTCTTGAAAAATTGGCACAAGATAAAGAAATGAATGATGAAGTTGAATAACAATCCTCTGCTTAAAGTGACCAAGATGATTGGGATAAATGTAGTAATACTAGGCCTAATGTATTATGTCCCATTCAGCTGCGCATATATCAAGAAAAGATGGCTGACCGTGGAAATGACTTCCTTTATGTAGTAATACATTGCGTGTATTTAAATGTTACACTCATTAAATTACAGCATTGAACGATCTAAACATATTATTTCATGGAGAATGATATAATAATAATATAATAACCATAATATCAATAATCTCAAATGTTCATTATTAATTAGTTGCTTCTGATAAATGATTGATTTTTTTGTGAGTAATCGCTAGTTTTCAGATAGTGAACAGCACGTATAAAGTAACGGTAAACTGAACTGATGGAACATCTACAAATAATAACATAAGCTACTGGCTCATAATATCACACACTTTCAACCGCTCAGAGTTCTCATAGCAAAAAAGAAGTTTAAACCACTAAATTTGAAAATAATGTCAGAACAGGAGTTTAAGAAACTACGACTAACTAAATTGGTACAGAGCCTCGTAAGGCGATGCGTCCCTCCTCTAAACAAAGGAAACATGTTTTAAATTGTTTTACTAGTTACATATATTACAGTATTAAGATTATAGCAAACATATACAACAGTAACCGGTGATCTGGAGTCCTAATATTCAGTAACATATTCAGCTGGCATGTCACTCACAATCCATAACCACTGAATTGCCATTTTGATTCGTTTATTTCGTCTAATAAATAAGCATACTGAATTCTGTAGATTTTATGGACGAAATGAAAACTTCAGTATCGACTGAAGTATGATGTTATGAACGTTACTGAGAAAAATCAGTTGGATAAATAAGCACTTAGGAAGTCTCCATCATAGATCTTCAGTTCAAGTATTAAAGTACGCACCCATACCTTATGTTGCAAAAAATGAAAGTACACTTATCCGTCTCCTAAAAAGCAATGGAAGAGTCTCTAACATCATTCATACAGTAGGCGCGCTAATTGCATCAGTTAGATTTCATCTGCCTTTCTGTGCACTCTTTTCGCTATTCTGTTGAGGCAGAATTTTCTGGTTGAAATGGGATAACATTGCTTGGCTGTTATGACTTTAGTTAGGGGAACACAATCTACTCGCCTACATAAATGGTTTCTACTAAGCTTCGCTTCATCTCAACTTATAGGAATATTGATAGTCAAATGATGACAGTAGTCTAAACTCCAAAGGTAACCCAATTGCACAGTTATAAATATACTCAAAAACCTTGTGTAAAAAACTTCTTAAATGGGAAAAGCTTCAAAAGATTAGGACTATGTCATTTTAAGATGTAATGACCTGATATTTAAGACATAAAAAGTTGGTGGACAATAATTTTCGTAGTGACAACCAAAATCCAAGGTTTGTATGGTGGTAAACTTTTAATTAAAATAAAGACTAACCTTCATTATGAATTTATCTGCAATATTACTGCTAGAGAAATCAAAGTCAAGTATCTCAAACGCCTCCATAGTCTTGATACTGCATTCTGCTACAACCGCATTTTCTTCTAACCTATACACAAAAGTTATTGAGAAAAAAACTTACAACAAGTCCACTGTGCTGCCATGTATTTTATATGACATAATGAGTGACACAGGGGATCCTTGTACCGACGTTCCAAAGATAGATAAACAGTCCTATAAGCGCTTTTCAGAAGTATTAAACTACATACAATCAGTATACCAAGGTTTGTTCTAAACGATACGATATCCTTTCTCACGGAATACTCCCGAAAAAGTGCTGAATGGAGAAATGCGTTTCCTTGAATACACTTTGAGTCTTCAACAGTCACTTTGATACCATTATTTGTTGCAAACATAGTAGCAAGCTAGGCGGTAAAAGTAGTTTAACTACTCAAACATACATCACGGAAATGAACTGCTTTTAATAAATTGATTATAACTTTCGCATTGTCCATAGCCACATAGATAAGTGGTTGTTCCATCATGTCATATACAACACAGGTAAACGAAGCCAGTAGACAGTGTTATAACCAACTAGGAAAAACAGAAAAAGAACCCCATTAAAAGGGTAAGCAATACAAACTAAAAGATGCATCTACCTGGAGTTTCAAAGAAATACGAATATGTGAGTTTTATAGCGCTTTCCGAAATACAGCAAACACTGATGATTTGTTGTTCTTTACCACTTCCTTAAACCATAAGACATTTATAATAATTAGGTTTGGACTATCACGATAGCAAAACTGTGATTACAGTGTGAAGTGATGAGAGGCATTTGTGTCTGTCAACGATACCTGCTGACTCCATTTTTTAAATTTTCATCACATATATATTAACGAACGATGAACGGAGAATTAGGGAATGATTTGTTATCTGACTGCAGATGATAGTCTTTATAGATGAAGACCATAGATTCCAGAGTCTTCCTAATACCTTGATCAGAAATCTTTGTTTGCCATGCAATTCGCCCCTGGCAAATGTAAGATGATGCTGCAGGATTACTCTGAACCGAATCACAGTTTACGGATAGGGAGTTAAGTAGTTGAGCGTGTTAACTACTTCACTTGTTTGGGAAGCTGCATCAGCCCTAATGGACTGATTGTTGACAAGATCTCTTATCGGATATAAAAGTCTGATACATCATTAGCTACCTATGGCATAGACCTGTTATCCAGCTATCGATCAAAGATCAAAGGATGTTATTACTGAGCAGCAGTTAGCCCTTATGTCTGGGACATGGTCGGTGAAAGCGAAGATGTGAAGAGACTACTTGTCTTTGACTATAAGTGTCTGAGTTTCATATCCTGTATACTGTGGTGTAATATGGTGAGCAATATTAAGCATAGGCTTAGGAGCGAATATCAACCATTGATGTTATAAAACTATGTTAGCTAAGGTAGCTCGGGCGCGTGTTGTGCATGCTAAACCATCCTCTTTCCCGTCGAACAATGTTATGTGAAATAAGATAAGCTTGGAAAAGAGTTAAGGGTGGTCATATTAAGAGTTGGAATCAGTCCATGAAGTCTTTGACCGTTAGTGTAGGCTACGCAGAATGGCATAGACAACCTGAGTGATGTTAAGAACGCCAGAATTAACGGTTGGAGACTGGTGACATAGCTCAAAATCATCCTCAATCAAACAGATGAATTCATTCTCTATAAACTCAGTATATTTGCATCATATTTCTTCCTCCCATACATTTTCCTGACATTTTTTTCTAACTTTGTGTACTCAATGAAGTGTGCTAACTTTAACTGCTGCACTTTTATGAAAAGTTCTAAGTTGAAAATGGTGGCTTATAAAGATGAGAATCTGAGTGTCGACAGAATTGCCTGGTATGAGGTTTCGTTAACCACCTAGACAAAATAATTCACCAGATACCATGTAGTGACACGACTGACAACTGCCCTCTTGACGTGGCGGTCAGGTTAGTAGACTGCGATGACCTAATGAGCTACACTGGCTGGAATGAATGTCCCAGAAGATCCGACGGACAGCAGCTGAACTGCAAACGGCTGTTATCGCAGTACAAGTCGATAACAATTTAGTGGGGAATTGAAGGAGAAGTCAGGTAGTCATCAGAACAGCATGTACCAGCGGTAGATGAAACTGGCTTATCAGCCTAGGTACTCGACTTTCAAACAATATGTCACAGGTTCGAACCCTGTTTCGCCTGTTGAAGTTCGGGAAGTCAGGGAGTACCACTGGCCCTAACACAATATATGTGGCCCATTGACAACTGCGTCGGTGGTATAGCGATGAGGACGCTCGCCGGCCATGCACATGGTCCGGGGTTCGAGCCCACGCCGACGCACACCTGATATCTATGGTCGGCCTGCGAATTTTGGGCTACCGATATCCACGCTGAAAATTCCACACTTGTACCAAAAATACAGTGTGGAATCAAGCTGTAATCAAAAATAAATAAAAAAAATAAAAATATAACCGCAAGTGGTCGCTGTACACTCTCACCCTACGGCTGCAAGGCCTATTAAATGGATGAAACTTTCCGGATTCCATCATTTTCAAGCAAACCACGTGTGACTGGCATAGAGCTACACACGTTCCCATTAGCGTGCAAATTTCTTGAATCTCTCAATCAGCCCTCTAGTGAATGTGAATTTATGTGTACAAACTAAGCTAGCCAATTGAGGTTAGATTAGTAATTACAAAGAGGCGACTGACCTATATCTAAGGTGAAATTCCTAAGTAAGTAGCTTAGGAAAGGTAAGACCATTGTTATGTACGTATTCACGTGCAATAACATAATAAAAGAGGAAACAAGTAATAGAAAAATTAACTGTTAAATGTTACTTCACTGAACCAACAACATTCCCGTGTAATACAAGTGGTGAAACACTAGTCCTAGATACAAGGTACTCTATTACCACAGAAACAGAAAAGTATGGAAGAAAATCACTGCACAATATGGTGAGTTAAGAAGACATCTCTTTACCGTTGAGATAAATAAACAATAATCAATGAATGAAAACAGAAGTTTTAAGGAAATGGAAGCTTGAAGCACTTGAAGGATATACCTAAACGACTAAAAGGATATCAGCTTGAGTTATCCTAATAAACCCCAACTTGTTGCTCTACCAAGTAAATGCACTTCAGTATTATTTTCAGACTACCTGTAGTCGATAAAGAAAAACATCCCAAATGGTTTTACGAAAATGCCTGACATTTATAATTGCTTTCCACCATTTTTAAACCACTCTCAATCCATTTTAACACCTTTCTCAACATTTGTCCAAAGTTCTACTCTTTTTATTCTTTATTTTCCATTCACACTCCATTTTGGCTATATTGACATACGAACGAGTGTTGACCCACATTAAGAGATTAAGATAAACGCGTTTCCAATATTTGAAGCTAGAAATAAGTCACCTTGTTATGTTAGAATCTCATCAATGGTTTCCCTACTACAGACTATTTCGGAAATTTGGGTAAAAATTTCGGATCATCTACTAGAGCCATGAAGAGGTGTGCAAGAGGAATAATGCCGCAAAAGCGATAGCTTATGAGGGTAAAAGAAAGTCCTATAGGACTTTCTTTTATATCCCGCAAGAATATAAGGTCACACAGTGATCCTGGGATACTGCTTGCCAAATATAGATCTGTAAACATAATTAGATCCCTAATTTAGAGCTGCAGCAAAAACAGCAGCAGTCATAGCCGAGTGGATAACATCACACCATCTAGAGTAGTGACCTTCAGGAAGCCCTTTCGAAAACTCGTACCTCCCATTACTTAACATCTGCTGCTGTGGTAAAAGAAACACAATACCAACCATCTGCCTTACATGACATTAGACAACTAAACTCATTTCTGTGCGCCCACTTCTTGGAGATAATGGTGTAGCGATAGATAATTTCCCCCAAATTATTATTATTTTATCCTTTACTTCCTAGAGAAACATAGGGCTTCAGTCGCGCGTCTCCATTGCGTTCGGTTTTCTGCCAACTTTTTCACTCTGCTTCAGGTCTGCCTACATGCTTTCATATCCTCTTCGCATGATCTCCTCCAAGTCCCCCTTGGATGACCAACAAGTCGCTTCCCTTTCGGGTTCCACTCGAGCGATGACTTATCTAGTGATGTCACTTGATAGTTTCCTCAGAGTATGGCCAATCCATCTCAATTTCTTCCTGCTTGTTTGTTTCACAATAGGTTCCTGGTTGGTTCGCTCATTGCCAGAGATCCCTGTTGCTGATCTTTTCTGGCCGGCTATCTGATCTTGAGTACTGAGCAAAGACAACTGTTAATGAAGGCCTGCAGTTTGTTTCAGATGCTCTTCATGACGCAATGGCCAAGTATCTCATCCGTAGAGCAGCACTGACTTCACATTGGAGTTGAAAACCCGGATCTCATTTTTGGTGCTGAGCGCTGTTGACCACCACACAGACTTGAGAGTAATGAAAGCTTGTCTTGCTTTTCCGATTCTTGCTTTGATATTCTCGTCAGTTCCGCCTGTAGTTGAAACGATGCTTTCCAACGACTTCATTTTCAAGCTGTGCAGTCGTATTTATATTACAGAAAAAGGTTATTAAGTGGCACTAAATAATTGCTCAGTCAATGTACGTATATATGTGATAAAAGTTATAAGGGGTAGAGTTGAAGTGGATAGATTACAAAAATATTTAAGATTGTTCTATAACAAAATGTCAAGTGTTGTCTAAAAATTTTGAAAATTAGGAGTACGATTACGGTAAGAATGAAGATGTGAAGTGAAGTGGAAAGAATTCAAGTGGTAAAATAAAGTAAAAACTAGAAAGAACATTATTATGACCAAGGTAAAGAAAGGGGTTTGACAAAACGCTTTTAAACACATAATTTAGGTTTCTGTTCATGTATAGCTAAAGCTTCGGCTATGCATAAGTGAAGAAAACGTAAACTTTTGGATCGATTCGATTTTGCCATGTATATAACTTTGAAAGATGAATCACGTGGGGCTAAATGACCAGACTCTATCAGGTGATCACAAATAGACGACTTTGCAGTTCTACGTTCGCCTTTCATTAACCAAACCGGATAGTGTTCAGCTACACGTTTTCGGAGATTACGCTTACAACGTCCAATATAAACAGCTCCACAAGAGCAGGTAAAAGAGTAAATACACATAGATGTGGACAAAAGCGGTAATCTATCCTTGACGCATTGTCTAATCATATTTTGGCTGGTAAGCACCAGTTGTAGGTCAGCTGCAGGAAAAGTGCGTTTAACACATTTAGATAAACGATTTTTAATCAATTCTGAAATGGTGTCACCTTTTAATGCAAGACTCATAAACAGCTTTTTCTTTGGTACTGTGACTTGTCTCGGGGCGGATTCTTTCTTGATGTTACGTTCAATAAACCTTGTGGGATAACCATTGTTAAGGAGATTTGATAGAAGGTTATCTAGTTCCCTATCGATTGTCTCTGAAGAGCAGATTCTACGAAAGAGAAATCTTATTCATTCCTTATGCTCCAGAATTCTAGTTTTTATTTTATTTTACCACTTGAATTCTTTCCACTTCACTTCACATCTTCATTCTTACCGTAATCGTACTCCTAATTTTCAAAATTTTTAGACAACACTTGACATTTTGTTATAGAACAATCTTAAATATTTTTGTAATCTATCCACTTCAACTCTACCCCTTATAACTTTTATCACATATATACGTACATTGACTGAGCAATTATTTAGTGCCACTTAATAACCTTTTTCTGTAATATAAATACGACTGCACAGCTTGAAAATGAAGTCGTTGAAAAGAAATTTCTTCGCTGAACAAAAACTGTGTTTTTACTTATGAATAAATGGGTACTTTTCGAGATTTAAAGAAACGATGCTTCCCAGGTAGATGAAGGAGGTTGTTTCTTTCAGGTTCCCTCGAGTCTTGCTGATTGTTGTCTGTTGTTGTTGCTGTGGCTGCTGGTGTTGGCCAGGAATCTCCATCACCTCTGTTTTATCTATGTTCACCTCAACGATATTGTACCTTTGATGCTTCTTCTGCCAACTTGTCGCTTTTCACTTGCATATCTTAAGTTTGTGGGAAATTAGACAGATATCATCGGCGAAGTCCAGATCCTCCAAGTTTTTGTGTGAGTCCATTTTATGCCTGTTTCCTCATTGCCCGTTGTCTGTCAAATAATCCAGTCTACTACAATCAGGAAAGTCATTGGCGATAGTAGACAGCCTTGACTCGCTCCCGTCCTCACTTCGAAGTCTTCCGCAAGTTTCCCGTTGTGGATTACTTGGCATGCAGCATTGTCGTATAACTGTTGGATGAGATGTACGATTGTCGATGAGACCCCGCAGTAGCGAAGTAGCTGCCAAATCACCACTCGATCGATGCTGTCGAAGGCTTGTTCAAAGTCGACGAAGTTGAGATAGAGAGGTAACTGCGATTCCAAGCTTTGTTCAATGATGATCCGTAGTGTGGCGATTTGATCAATACACGACTATTTTATCCTGAATCCGGCCTGTTCCGGTCAAAGTTTTTCATCCATGGCGGCGTCTTTGATTCTCTCCAGGACAATACGGCTTAGTATTTTGCTTGGGATGGACAGGAACATAATTCCGCGCCAGCTTTTGCATTGACTCAAGTCTCCTTTCCTTGGTAGTTTGAATAAGAATCTTTTCTTCCAATCCTCGGGTACTTTACCCTCTTTCCAAACCTTCTACAGTAATGGCGTTATCAAGTCCGCTGTTGTCTCTGGGTCCATTTTCAATGCTTCTGATGGGATTCCAGCTGGTCCCGTTGCTTTTCCAGCTTTTAGCATCTTGACTGCATTCAGGTTTGACACCCTCGTCAGCTGAGGCAGTAGAAAGTCTTTAATTAACTCTAGTCGACGGTTGTTTTAAATACATAAATAGTAAACGGAGATGGAATGACTTATTGTCAATGTCGTTGAAGATTTTGATGTGGTTTTGTTCTCTGAGCTGGATGGTTAGTTTGCGAAGCTTTCATCACCTCACTGGGTGACATCTTCAGCGCATACTTCAATTTGAAGTGAGCTTTTAGATTTCTCCACGAGTTCATTAATCATCTCTCCTACTGGTCACCTTGGACGTGATTGGTTGTTTATGTGTGTTTTCACACCTTCTAGGTTACTTGTGTTGGAACTGATTGTTTCTGTGACTTGAACTTTGACCCTTTGTGTCTGAAGTTTCTTTCTT